AGGGGGTACTTCTGAGATGTGGGGGTAGGGGGAGAGGAGGGGCTTTCAAAATCCTTCATAAAATAGAAGTGGTATCTGGATTGTATATTCTCAGTGCCTGAAGAGAGCATTATTTTCTTTATTTTCCAGAGATCAACATCGCTATGACCCGGCCTTTGACGCCCCTGACCCCAGCTATGACCCTTGTAGTGACCTTTGCCTTGCTCGTGGCCTTGACCTCACAAGTTGAGGCCAAGTGTGACTTTCCGGATTTTCTTCAGATAAAGGATCCCTGGGCGGGAGACTACCGGAATGGGCTCCTGGTGGCTTATGTCAAAGTAAGTGGTGGAATCAAAATGTTATGCCGAAGTAATTGCCAGTTTGTGTCAAAGAAAATGGCAGAGTGAGAGATATCTCACGCCAAACAATTGACATCTTATGTCAAAGTAAATGTGAGGCAGCGTGGTGGAATCAGGCTCTCGTCAAAATAATCAAAGTGAAAAAACTGGTATTTTTCCGATAATTTGTGAATTTTTATCGAATTATTGGTTTTTGACTCAACACCTTTGATGCCCATTAAAGAACTCATTTCTATGTTGATTTGACTGAAAAACGTTGATTTGAGGAACAAAAAAAGTAAATTTTCAGTTATCACAAACTCTTAAGCTAAGGAAATAACTAACCTTTGGCGGCCATTTTCTCACTAATTCTACCTCTAAAACCAGGTGACCCCACCTCCTTCAAACACAGATATCTCTACTTCAATTCAACATAGACGAATATTTTTTTCTCCAAGAGGAAGGCAAATGAACAAGCTTTAAGATGATACCAATAACTCTACACGCCCCAAAATTGACGAGAGCCTGATTCCACCTCTTCGTGACACATTTTTGTGTCAAAGTAATTAGGACCTTATGTTGAAGTACGCTGAATTTACTGACCAAAGATTTTTACGTAAGACTCTACTTCTCGATTCTATTATTCCTTCAATGATGGTTGTGGTGGTGGGGATGGTGCTATCGACAACAGTACGATAAAACTGACAACAATGATATAACCACTGCTATCACAGTCAGCAACAGCAAAAACAGTAATAAAGATAACAACAACAACAACAACAACAACAACAACAACAACAACAACAACAACAACCACACCAACACCAACAACGACATTTACTGATAATGGAAACAACAAAAATGACAACAACAACAACAATAGCTACGACAATAAGAACAACAATAGCAAGAACAACAACAACAACAACAACAACAACAACAACAACAACAACAACAACAACAACAACAATAAATACGATCGCACAATAAAGATAGCCTTTTCACCTATCCCTTTATCCCCACCCCTTTACCTTACTCCGCATGTCCCATCCCTCTTACCTCCCTACCCTACCCCACCCTAACCCCCCTATTCTCCTCCCCTAACCTATACCCCGTTCCCATGCTCTCCTTCCCACCCCCAACTCTTGCCCAACCCCTATACCCTCTTCACCCCACCCCCAATACCCTCCTCCCCTCTCCGACCCCCAACCCTTACCCAACCCCCAATACCCTCCTCCCCACTCCCCTACCCCGGGCCCTACCCACATACCCTCCTCCCTAATCCTCTACCTCACGCTCCACTCCCACCCCCTTACCTTCCTCCCTTACCCCCCCCCTCCCACGCCTTGCCCCTTTCCAGCAAAGCTACATCCTGCTCCGGGAGACTGTAGAGGGAGGCAACTTCATCTCGTTCCGGCGCGAATGTCGTCAGAAGGTACCAGACAACAAGTACCTCCTCATGCACAAGGAGAAGGATCAGAGC